GTGCGGCCATTACCCCCGCGTCGGCGGGAACAGGAAGCAGGTGGGAGCCGCCGCCAGGTTTGCGGGCCCGGGGCTGCTCATCCGTCGGGAGGGCCCTGGGCAGTGGCTGCTGTGAGGAAGGTGGTGCCTCCTGGGGAGTCGGGAGAAGCGGGGGTTCAGGGTGACTGTGCCCAGCGTGGGCCGGTCCTACTGGGGCTCTGACCTCTGAGATGGGGCTGTGACCCCTGGGAGTGGCTTTGACCTCTGAGATGTGGCTCTGACTCCTGGGATGTGGCTGTGACCCCTGGGACGTGGCTGTGACCCCTGGGACATGGCTGTGACCCCTGGGATGTGGCTTTGACCTCTGAGATGGGGCTGTGACCCCTGGGACATGGCTGTGACCCCTGGGAGTGGCTGTGACCCCTGGAATGTGGCTCTGACCCCTGGGAAGTGGCTGTGACCCCTGGGACGTGGCTGTGACCCCTGGGATGTGGCTGTGACCCCTGGGATGGGGCTGTGACCCCTGGGACGTGGCTGTGACCTCTGGGACGGGGCTGTGACCCCTGGGATGTGGCTGTGACCCCTGGGATGGGGCTGTGACCCCTGGGACGTGGCTGTGACCTCTGGGACGGGGCTGTGACCCCTGGGATGTGGCTGTGACCCCTGGGATGGGGCTGTGACCCCTGGGACGTGGCTGTGACCTCTGGGACGGGGCTGTGACCCCTGGGATGTGGCTGTGACCCCTGGGATGGGGCTGTGACCCCTGGGACGTGGCTGTGACCTCTGGGACGGGGCTGTGACCCCTGGGATGTGGCTGTGACCCCTGGGATGGGGCTGTGACCCCTGGGACGTGGCTGTGACCTCTGGGACGGGGCTGTGACCCCTGGGATGTGGCTGTGACCCCTGGGATGGGGCTGTGACCCCTGGGACGTGGCTGTGACCTCTGGGACGGGGCTGTGACCCCTGGGATGTGGCTGTGACCCCTGGGATGGGGCTGTGACCCCTGGGACGTGGCTGTGACCTCTGGGACGGGGCTGTGACCCCTGGGATGTGGCTGTGACCCCTGGGATGGGGCTGTGACCCCTGGGACGTGGCTGTGACCTCTGGGACGGGGCTGTGACCCCTGGGATGTGGCTGTGACCCCTGGGATGGGGCTGTGACCCCTGGGACGTGGCTGTGACTCCTGGGATGGGGCTGTGACCTCTGGGATGTGGCTGAGATCTGAGATGTGCCTGGTCCAAGCTGTGGTGTGTGCCTAGTGCAAAATAGTATAAAATAATACCCACGTTCCCAAGACCTCCTATGGGAAAAGGAGTGCAGTAACCATTTGTGCTGATTCTGTAAGTGGTAACATTAAAAAGCAATGTTTGTATGGATTTTAGAGAGAGGAAGGGAGAGGGAGAGACAGATAGAAACATGGATGAGACAGAAACAGCAACATTGATGGGCTGCCTCCTGCACGCCCCTCGGGGGTGGAGCGCAACCCAGGCAAGTCCCTGTTGGGGAATCCAAGACCTGGTGGTGCAGGGTCTGTGCTCGACCTCGTAGCCACACCCACCAGCAGTGGTAACATTTTAAAATATATATATTTTTATTGATTTCAGAGAGGAAGGAAGAGGGAGAGATAGAGACATCAATGATGAGAGAGATTCATTAGTTTGCTGCCCCCTGCTCACCCCACACGGGATCGAGCCCAACCCGGCATGTGTCCTGACTGGGAATCGAACCTGGGACCTCTTGGTCCATGGGACGATGCTCAACCCACTGAGCCACCACAGCCGGCCCATTTTTGATGCACTGGGTTACATAGGTGTCACTAGGGTTGATTTTGCTGGTTTTTAAAACCTTTGTTATGTGGCAGGCAGAAAACTTAAATTTTGCCTGTGTCCTGAGACTTTATTTCTGTTGGGCAGTGCTGGCATATACCGAGTTTGAAATAAGAACTGATGATGCGCTTACCTACCTCACCCAGGAGCTACGTTGTCAAAGCAACCTTTTATCCGTGTTAGAATTCTGTAACTTCAACCTCTGATGTCTGGAGTCATGAAAGTACAGTAATCCTCACTTAACGTCGTCGACAGGTTCTTGGAACTTGTAACTTTAAACAAAATGACATATAATGAAACCAGTTTCACCCTAGGGTCTAGGCCAGTGATGGCGAACTTATGACACGCGTGTCAGAGGTGACATGCGAACTCATTTTTTTGGTTGATTTTTCTTTGTTAAATGGCATTTAAATATATAAAATAAATATCAAAAATATAAGTCTTTGTTTTACTATGGTTGCAAATACCAAAAAATTTCTATATGTGACACGGCACCAGAGTTAAGTTAGGGTTTTTCAAAATGCTGACACGCCGAGCTCAAAAGGTTCGCCATCACTGGTCTAGGCTAATTGATATTAACAAGAGTTAAGTTCCTAAAGCATATTTCTGGTCAGAAAAACACCTAACTTCTAAATAAAGACCCCAAACACTTCTCATATTAATCATGGAAGTAAATGTAAGCTATATATACATTTAAGAAAGATTAATGAAAAAAAGACAAAACAAACAAACAAACAAACAAACAAAGATTAATGGAAACAAGTAAGATCATTATTTCCAACTGCTTATTCCCGTTTAGGATCACTGGTGGCCAGTCCAACCCAACAGCTCAGGGTGCAAGGTGGGACCCCAGCCAGTCAGGATGCCCTTCCATCGCAGGGTCACCCACACCCGCGCCCACACTCACTCTGACTGGGACAGCGTGGATGCACCATTCACCTCACATGTGCATCTGTGCACGTCATTGGGATGTGGAAGGATCTCCCCTCCCCCCACACGGGGAGAACGTGTAAATTCCACAGATAGTGAGCCCAGCTGGGAAACATTTTTCTTCTCATCAACATTATAACAAAACTAGGGGCCCAGTGCAATAATTCGTGCACCTTGAAAGGAACTGTGGGCTGTGAGGCTGCGGTGGGCACAGGGGCGGGTTTCGCCCCATCCTCCGTGCCTCCTGCCGTGACCCCTGGTCTCCTGTCTGTTGGTAGCCCTCCTCCCGCCACAGCTGCTCTCATGCGCCGGCCCTACTCGCACCCGCTGACAGCACGGACTGATTGGGGCCGGCGCCAGCAGCAGGTATGAGCGGTGGCTGCTGCTCCGATCACCCCTCAGGAGCAAGGGGAGGTAGAGAAGCCCTCTGGGGTGATCGGGGCCAGCAGCCGCCGCTCATACTGACTAACAGCGCTGAGCGATTGGGGCTAGCACTGGGCACCGGCAGTGGGTGTGAGTGGGGCTGGTGCCGGCAGCAGGTGCAAGTGCCAGGTGGAACCACGGCGCACGGGAGCAAAGAATTTTCAGTAACCACCAGACGCTTGCCCAATGACAGCGACCAGCACCCCACCCCGCTTTAGTCTGGCACCCCTGTCCACCTGCTCCACCATCCT